ACATTTCAGTCAAGGAAAATTTTTGTGCAGAAGCCAAAACCAAAAACAACATTTAAACCAGACAGTCTTACCTCTATACAACATATAAATCACAGAATTTTCTCAAATATCTTTGAGCAGAGCCCATGCTGCCATGCATTTCTGTGGAATACTTTTTTAGGCACTTCTATGTTTTACCTATAAAAGTGACTTGCCTTTCTTGAATTGAAGAACTGAACAAATACCGCAAGCAACAGGCCCAGACCTGAGGACTATAGATATGAGTAACTCCACTCAGCCAACTAGAAATAAGAAAAAAAATCTAATTAGAGACAGCTCTGGTACCAAATTTTTGCTATGTAATCCCTCAGATACATCTCAAATCAATGTGTGTATTAATCTGAACACTTACACTCCAACTAATGGCAGAGCATAAGCCTTGGGATCAGACTCAAGCAGTAAAAGCAATTTCCTTGTTTGGTCCATAGTAAGGTAGCTGAAAGAAAGCAAAAGTTGGGTTGTTTTAGTATTTTGGAAGACAGTTTTTTAGGAAAAAAAACCTGGAGAGAAAAGTACAAGTTTAGAAAATACTATAAGAAAATAAATTTAGGGAAAAAAATTAAAGATCAAAACTGCTCTTACTCCACACACTTAACAGCAGCTCCCCAGCTTTTCAGCAATTCCCTATGTATCAAAGAGTTCTCAAGGATAAAAAACTTACATAGTACTATTTGTAGTATTTTAGTGAATACTAGAATTAGTGTTCATAACAAATCCCCAAGTACAAGTCATGTTAAATTTGAAGAGTAATTTGCAGAGAGGCATTCATAAAGTCCCTATCCAAATAAAATGACATTCAGTTATTTCAAATTTCCCTGATCTATCCCTAGTTCATCCTATTAAATTAGTTACCAGTCAGAATGATGACTTCTCAATACCATCTCAGAAGCACAAAAAGAAAGCTTTGGTTTGCATTCATCTGCTTTTCATTGTAGGGCAAGCACCTATGGTGTTTTAAAAGCTGGAAGCTATTTACATTTATTATGTTAACTAGAGGTGTGTTCTGCCACTTTCACTGAAGCCAAAAGCAAGAATTTCTACTCAACCAGTTAATGTTTTTCTCCATCCCATTTCTTGTTTCTTGTTCGTAATTTTAATACATTTCTAAGGCCATAAGACATGCCATGTTTATGTCAAGTTATTTTACTAAAAAGCAAAGTACAGTTGAGATCTCTCCTACCCACCTCCTTTGGAAAGGCAAGAAACTGACAGGCAACTTTGACAGCTTTAGCACCACCCTTTACTCACCCACATTTGTAAGTTCCTTGAACTTGTGCAATATTCATAGGACTGGTCAAATTTCTTGCTAGGGCTGTTGGAATAATTGGGACAGACTTCACAGGGGTGTATTCCAAAATATTGGCCAGAGTAAGAGAAGCCCAGTAAAAATTAAAGTGTAGATTATCCAGGTTTTCTGTGAAAAAAATGTGAGCTCTAACAGTGAGCAGTTTAGAAAGATCCAGAGATTCTTTACTGCACAGACTCTGCTGCAGACCCTAGAAGGAAGAAAAAAAAGTTAAATACACTAAGTTATTTTCCATGATTACCATGATTCAAGATGTATTACACTAGGAATTCAAATCATTCATCACAGCTATTACTGCAGTAGGTACTATGCAAAAAAGCCATCAGCCCAGGTCTCCAAAGCTCACTGCACTAGTGAATGTAATGAATAATGCAGAATACACTTGAAAATTAGCTATGCACACCTCAGCATTGTTTTTGATGGATTAGAAAGCCTGGGGTTACTTAATTATATGAAAATTAATATAATACAGACAACTAAAAGGCTCAAGCTGATTTGCCAAAGTTTTCTTACTTGCATTCAAGAAATATGTAATTTAATATCTGGATGTATCATCATGAGAAAGTTCAGATGTGAAGCAGGTTTAATTTGCATTATAAAACACACACTACAATAACTACAGGGAAAAGTCTACAGGAATGGAAAGTGTATTTAATGGATTACAGCAGAGCACACATTTCAGCTATGGCTGCTAACCTGCACAGGGCTCCACACGTTTTGGGCGGGTCACTTGCCTAGCAACACTTCAGCAACACCTGCCCAATACTGCAACTGATTAATGACAATTTTGAGGGCAAAAAAAGACACAAAAACTGTTTTCTCTTGTTTAAGTAAGTTTGCTGCAATTGCTGTTGCTTTGTTGGTTTTGGTGGTTAGACCAGCTGAAAAACTATGGTCAGTCAGCAAGATTTTCATCCAAGATTAAAGACTGTGTGATCCTTAAACACCTGTGAGGATTAACTGACTTTAACAGTTTCCAATGCACTTTTCAATGGCACTCAAGCAGCTCATTTCACACAATTAACTACATGGTCTTGGTTCAGCCCTAACCTTGCTGTGCTGGAAATCAAGCTCTGTGCATAGCCCAGTGTCCTGCCTGGCAGACAGCTCACTGTTTGAGAGACCCAAAAGTTGCTAAGAGCTGCTTACCTTGAAAGCCAAGCTGATATCTTCAGCACTGTGCACTATTATATTATCTGGACAAGGTCCCCAGGCATTAACTGTACATGGAATCAAGAAGTCTCCAGGAAGGGACGCAGTTGGGATTTTGCCTGATCCACCAGCAACTTCTCGGCCAGGATCAAAGCGATCTACTGTCAGCGTTACGCCTTCCCCATCTTCAAAATAAAGAAATAAAGTCAGAGTCCAAGAGAAACAACTCAGCTTAACTACAGCTTAATCAACCAACCAACACTGCCTGTCTACCTCATGTTTAGAATTACCTTCATCTACTGTGAGGGTGCCAAGCAAAAAACAGGACAATGATTTCTTTTCATTCTGCTTAGCATGGCGGTAGGCAAGCCGCAAGGTTTTCTCCACCAGACATATCTTGGGGTTTCTAAAAGGAGATAATAAGCAAGTTTAAGTCACAAATTCTTTTAAATGCTTTTTTAAAAAAAGTATCACTTATTCATATGGGAAGAAAATAGAAACAAATTTTAAGTTACTTTAAATTGATGCACCTTCAAGGCACTAGACTGTGCTACACAAAGGAAACTGAAATTTTTCCAGTGAAAATCCCTATATGCTTATAAGAAATACACTGCTTCCTTTTCCTTTGGGCCTTGCCATAGAACAGACTCAAAAGACAAAATGAGGCTTTGCATCACACACTCCATAATTTATTTTAAGCTTTAGCTTGCCCCAAAAGGGTATCAATACCTGTAATAGGTGATGTGTGTGCCAATGACATCGCCCATAGGGACTGGGTCCCAAAGTGCACACTTGGACAGAGGGAAACTGAAAGGGACCATCCTTTTGGGAACAAATCTGGGAAAATCAGAGATTAAAAAAAATGGATTAAGGTACATTGTTATCTTACGATGTTTAAAAGAAGGAACAAAAGCATGGCACAGTAAGAAAATCAAGAAATAGGATACATAAACCGTTGGTACTTTTTTTTGTTTAAGTCGAGGCCAACAAAGCAGAAACTTTGTCCTACGAAGTTGTCAGAGTTACAGTCAACACAAAACCTTTACTGTCCACCTGACAGTTTCTCTGTGGAACCTTGGAAGATGTGTAGGCCAAAATACAAGCTTGCAGATAAAGCTAAAGGAAAAACTAATTAGATATAGTTTAGGGAGAAAAAGAGTTACCACTAATTAGAAACTCCCATGGCACAAAAAAACTGATTTAGCAAATTTAACATTAGATCAGCTTCCCAAAGCCCTGTTTTAGTCTCTGTATTTCAAGTGAGCATTCACACCACTTAAACTTTGAAGATTTCTGAAATAAGGCCTTGGCTTAACTCAAATAGTAGACTTCAAAGAGCCCTGAAGAAATCAGTATGTAATCACATTAACTTATTTACACTATCAGGATTAGATTTTTTCGAGGTGCCTAAACAAAGCAACAAACAAAACAACTGACAGCCCATATAATTTGGCAAATACCCCAATACATTTTAACAAATAAGCAACAAATCTCTTTGTAGTTATCTCAAGCATGCCAAGCAAAGGTGCTTCCTCTACATTTCAACTTGCCAGGAAAGAACTTTATTTTTAAGGGAATCCTCCAAGGAACTCGGCCACGATGCTTCCAGCATTAACTCCCCTTAAAAGCCAAACAAGCCTTAAACTTAAATTTGTAGAAGAGGACACTTTTTTAAAGCACCACTGTTTCAACTTGACAAGCACGAAGCAGAAGTCCACCCTCCCTCAGCTCTGTATACCCCGAGCCGCACTGGCAGAGGGGCAGCGGAGCGGACGCGAAGTGCGCGGCGGGGCCGGAGCGATGCGGTACCTCAGATCCGGGCCGGGCCGAACGGGGGCCGGGAAGGGCCGCAGTTCTGCCCGTTCCTCTTCTCCCTCTCCCCAGCGTGGAGCGAGCCCGCCCGCTGCAGCCCCAGGCTCGGCCGGGCGGCGGCTGTGAGAACGGAGCGGCCCCAGTAGCAGCGACCGCGGCTCCAATCCCAGCACAGCGGCTCCCGCCGCGTCCCGCTCGCACCGGCGCCTTCTGCGGCCCCGGCCAGCCCCCTGCCCCCACCGACCAATCAGAGAGTTGAACCCGCCCCCTCTACCTGACGCGGCCCAATCGGCGCGCGGCAGGGAACGGCTGGCTCGGCCAATCAGAGCGCGCTCTGGGGAAACCAACCGCCAGCGCGCGCGCAGGGGGTTTAAAAATGCCAGGGGGCGGGGAGTGCGCAGGCGCAGTGCGGCGATGCGGCGGCGTTGCCATGGCAGCGGGGGCGCCGCCGCCGATGCCGGGCCGGGCCGGGCCATGCCATGCCATGCCATGCCATGCCATGCCATGCCATGCCGGAAAGGGCTGTGGCGGGGCCAACAATGAACCGACACTCCCGGTCCCGCTGGAGCGCCGCGCCGGCCTCCGCCTTCCCCAGTCAGGGCCTGAGACAGTGAGTCCCCTCAGAGCCGCCGCCGCCAGCCCCGCGCCCACGTGCCCGCCCCGCCCCGCCCGGACCCGGAAGCACTTTCCCTCCGCGGGGACAGCGCGGCGGCAGCGGTGCCTCAGTCACAGCCCCGGTCACAGTCCCGGCCTCGGCCCCGCCGCTCCCCGCCCGCCCTCCCTCCCTATCGGCCGCCCCACGGCCGCCGCCCCGCCGCCGCTGTCCTGCTGCTGCAACGCCGCCGCCTCCTTCTCCTCATGAAGCCCGTCGTCGTCTTCGTCCTCGGCGGGCCCGGGGCGGGCAAGGGGACGCAGTGCGCTCGTATCGTGGAGGTGAGGAGCAGGGGCTGCGGGACCCCGGCTGCAGGAAGCCTGGGAGTTGTAGGATCCCCCTGTGGGGCCCGGGACCCTATTTGGGGCGGTCGTCTGTGGGTCGTGTTACACAGACGGGGGTGGCGGGACCACTGTCTGCCTGTCGATCTGGTCTCTTGTCGAGTCTCCATCTATTCTTTGCTCCTTCTAGGCGATAAATACGAATAACTGACTCACATCTTCCCTTTAGTGGGTGAAGTGATGGGGCACCCTCCACTCCGGCCCCTCGGTCCCCCTTCCACCCCTGTCAGGCCGCCTGGCCCTTTCCCTTCTCCTGCCTTTTCCCTCAGCCCCGCGGGATCACACTTTGCTGGTGGTGCCTGCGCCGGTATCCACCCTGGGGACACCACTGGGGTTTTACATCCACCCCGGGAACACCATTGAGGTTTTTATATCCACCCTGGGGACACCATTGGGGTTTTTACATCCATTTTGGGGACACCATAGGGGTTTTAGATCCACCCTCAGTGTTCCGGAGCCCGCTCCGGTTGTGCCGGGAGCGCGGGTTGCCGGCTGTACCGGGGCCGGGGGCAGCACGGCGGCCCGGCAGGATTCCCGGTGCCCGGGCGGTGCTGCCCTGCCGGGCCGGTCCCGCAGCCCTGCCCGAGTGGGAGGCTCCGTACACGTCTGCACGGCCACGTCGGAGCTGGGGCCTGGCAGAGGAGGTGGGTGAGGTGTCTGACAGCCATTGGGATACGTGTGCTTCAAATGGATCAAGGTCCGCGTCCCCTGAGGCCTGTCCCATAAATGTTACAGCTGGTACAGCAGGCATTGCAGGGTGTTGGCTTTTTTACCCAGTGCCATCTCAGTAAGTTGTGGAAGTAATATGTTAAAAATAGAACAAATTAATTTTTTTTTCTGTGACACAATGTGATAGTGGTCAAAGGATATCCTGATCCCATAGATCATTCATCTTGTTCCTTCTCTTTAAAGAGCCTAAGACTGACAGTATAATTTAACTAAACTTTCAAATTTTCAGTTTTCCAAATACATTTTTTCCAGCCTTTTGAGACAACAAATATATAAGAAAGAACGGTGGATGATACATGGTGTAGTACTGTCCTTTTAAACACCAAAAACCGCAGGGATAATTAGAGTGTATCCAGGTGGATAATTACGGAAGTAGTTAGGGATGAATGCTTCCAAACATGTGTGTGTGTTGGATTTGAAACAGCTCTTTTATCTTTTTTTTTTTTTTTTTTTTTTTTACTGAGCAGTTGTATATACTTTTCTTATTAAAAGCCATATAGGATCAAAGCTTATGCATACCCTCATTGAAAGATATGGCTGAGAACTGTGGTGATGGCCATGTTCCTGAATTTGTTGGTGGGAAAGAACCCCAAAACTCCTGGAACAGCCACGTTGTGTGTGCCCTCTGTTCTGGTGGTGCCCTGTTACAGTTTATCCATGCTGCTGCTACATCCCAGACTTCAGACTTGTATAACTAAGTTAAGTGAATTTGGTCCAGACTAAAAAATGCCGTTATGACTTTAGTTCTGAAGGATTTAAACCTCAAATTACAGACTTGCGTTCAAAGCAGCATATTCATTAAATTAAATTGTGGCATGGAAGGTTCACAGTGCTCATAAAGCCTTTTTGGTAAGGTCAGATTCAGCCCCTGGCATGCAGAAAACAAATGAGCTTAAACTATAGGGGAACCTTGTAGGCTGTCATTAATGGCTTTCAGCAAACCATTAGTGTAGCCTCGGGGCTGAAGTACCTTGTGTGGCTGCTGGCCCTGTGTTTAGGAGGATAAATGCCTACGGCTGGATAGGCTGATATAATTGGATAAAGACCACTTTATTAGGAGGAGTTCAAATGAGCCATTGCTACTCAAATAGTATTTCCAGCTAGAAAGGAAAAAAAAAGAAAAACCTTGCTTATGCAGTATTTGTTTTCTTCTCTAAGCCTGGAAAGGGAAATCCAAATTCGAATAAATGCAAATTTGCTTTAATTCTGCTAATCCTGTTCACTACATGGAAAGAAGTTTATTGAAGTCAGTGAGCTGACAGTAGAGAGCACTCAGACCTGTTGAATGCACAGGACAACCTTCCTGCTGGCTCAGACACCTCCAGGAGAGTCACTGGCTAAACTGGGAGGCAGAGAGGGTCTGAGGTTGTTTAAAGAAGAGTTGGACTGGTGTAGGTGTGCTGGAAAACTTTAAGAAAAGGGCACATGAGCAGGGAAGTGTGGGTGAAACACAGCAAAAAGGGCACATGAGCAGGGAAGTGTGGGTGAAACCCAGCAGAGTTACTGGAGAGCAGGAGCTTTTCTAAGCACAGATCCTCACCATGGCCCCTGGCAGCCCCCAGAGAGTCCTGCAGGCAAGTGAGCAGCCTGTGTGGAGTCAATGCTGCCTTTGGGTTGAAAGTGTGTTTTTATTTGTGTTTTAAACCCTGTTGGCAGTTTGCCACAGAGAAAAACGGGCTGTAGCTGAGTAATAATAAACCTCATTCATCCTTGTTGTAAATGGATGGAATAATATTAGTTTACATTTGGAATGAATCTGACCCAGTATCTTACTGTAGAGCTGAAGGTTGTGCTGAACAAAAAGTCAGTATGAGCTATAAATATGTCTTGGTTGCTATTCATACTGGAGATTTGGGACAGAGCACATCACATGTGGAAGAAGTCTCATTTGGCTGAGGTGAGCTCTTGTAGAATTTAGCATCAAACTATTTTTATTAAAAACCAAGGGTGTCTGTGTTTTGTAGAGGAAAGGGGATATTATGTACTTAGTACCTGGGAACAATTTCTCAAAGAAATTTTGTAAATTTTTTGCAGACTGTGCTTTACATTCCCAAAAAAGGAGATGGGTATTCCATGTTGTAGGTGAAATATGTATTTGTTAAATACTAGTGTAAATCATAACTGCTCAATATGTGTGTGCTGGATTCCCTAAATGTGGAGAAGGCATGTATGCATGCCAAATTTGGACACAAATGGAAAACTGATTTGAGGGAAGACCTAATAACAAGTGGAAATGGGTATTGACACAGTGTAAGAAAGGGAACAGTGGGTGAGTGATTAGGATTCTTTATCTCCACAGATAAGGTTGGATGAGACAGCTGAACCAGACTGGTTTTCTCCGATACGGAGGGAAGACTCGACTCCTGTGTGTTCCACAGACACAGAATTGTCAGGGAAATGCAAATCAGCAGAACTGCTGCTGTTCTGGAGCAGTTCCTCCTATTTAGAGAGGGATGAAGCAGAATTCCCTCTTAAGTTCTTATCCTCTCCCTCGCAGCCCTGCAGATTAACTCCTGAAACCTTCCACAGCTTTGTTAGGTGGAGCTTGCCATCATCTGGGACTGTTGCGTAGCTGTCACGTGAGGCAGAATATTTGAGCTATAGTTGAGTGATGTCATTTGAATGCAGGTTCTCTCAATAACCTTCATGCTTTCCACAGTGTCTCTTCTGTGACTGTGAGATAATGGAATGTGCTTTATTGCTGACTTCTGAACTTTGCGTATAAAATCACTATGGTAAAGTCAAGGAAAAAAAAATGCTTTCAGCAAATCTGCATAAAATATGCTTTCTTGTGCTTAAATTTTAAATCCTTATAACCTCTGCTTGGGATGTAAAGCTCTTTGGTTGGTGGGAAGAATAATAACCAAATCATTTGTCTTTATTCCAAGCAAGATTTGAGTTGTACTTTTTTGTCTGTTTGTTTTAGCACGGTGATCTGTAGAGATTTGGAGTGTGCAAGGCATTGCTCTCTGTGTACCTAAAATATAATTCACCTCCACCACAGCCTATCCTGTATGTTTCTGGTTAAATCTAAAATTAATTCCACAAAGTGGGATGCTGAGCCTTCTCAGTTTTATAAGAGCATAAGTTGAGATCCAAATGGAAAAAGCTGTTAAGTTGCTTTGGGATATATGATAAGGAGATTTCCTAGGGTGAAGGAAACAATGCAAGGAAGTATTCATTGTATCAGAAATGCTCCTCTGAAAGTAGCAGAGGATTTAGGTTTTGCTGTCATGTGTTAATTGTCTTCTAGAAGTCTGCTGAGATACAGTGTTAACTTCCTTGAAGTAAAAACAGGGTTTAAATTGTTTGCTTTAAACTCAGCTTCTGAAATCTCTTTAATGAATGTCATGTATTGGTATTCTACTTGGCCTTAAGTTCTCATAGTTGATTTTTAGAACATAAATTTATATTTCTGAACTTGGGAGGTTTTTTTAAAAAACACGATGAGTGTTTAAATCTACCCCCTGAAGATTTATCCGTGAACATTTCCATTTTGCAGAATACTAGGCATTAAACTTTGGACTTTCCTGAACATACTGGGTGCCCTGTATTGAGTCAGTGCTCCTGAAGCACCTGGGGTGCTCTGTTTGCCCCCCTCTCCCTTGGAGGCACTGTGGGATCTCCATTGTGTGTTTTGTTTTGTTAATGAGGGGTTTTGTTTGGTTTTGTTTCCCAGAGACAAGAACATATTTCAAAGTAAGAAAATTTTTTCAATTTTTTAAATTGCAATAAGCAGACAGAAAGTCTATTACTGCATTGTAACCTGTACCCCAAAGATTTAATTCCATGTGCTAGTAGGACAGACAGAAGTTTTCAAGGCTAAAAAAACCCCTGAAGGCTGCAGGCTTTGCACAGTTCTGTCTTTATTTTTACTAGTTCTCAAATGGTGTATGTAGCAGATTTTGGTTGTTTATTAAGGTTGCCCAAGACATGACAGGTCAGAACCAGGGCAATAAAAGTTTGTATTTTATTTGTTTAAATCTTAAGCCCTGTGACTTTCGTTTTCAAACTAGCAACGATAAGCAAAGATAGGAGTCAAGGTCAAAGCAGTAATTTGTGTTTCTCTTGCTCCTTGGCTTCTGCTCTCTTAAGGAAGTCTCAAGCTGTGTGTTTAGTGGGGAGATTTGTTGCAGGACCACCAGGGCTGAATCAGAAATAAACCCGGTGTCCCTCAGAAGGGGCTGTGAAGGAGTCCCAGCGTCAGCTGCTGCTCACCCCTGATCCTTCCTGGCTCCACCTGCTTCCAGCCTGATGTGACTCACACATTTCCATTTCTGTGCATCTGTTTATTGTACTTACTGAAAACAAAGCCTGTTCTGTCTGCAGAGTGAAAGTTGCAAATCCCGGCTGGCAGAAGGAAGCTGGAAGGGCTGGAGGACAGGGCAGGGAAGGGCAGCCCGGAGAGGCTGCAATCTCGGGCTGGAATGTGGAGATGTGGAGCTCACGGCTTGTGTGTCCCAGTTTGTCCTGCTGTGACTGACCAGGCAGAGGCAAACAGCAAGTGCTGTTCTGATCTGCTCTGCTCTATCCACTGCTGCTGTGATGGGATTGATGGAAACTTGAGCTCACCTTTCCATTTCACTGGAATTTTTAAAAATTATTTTAATGTTTTATTTTTTTAAAGCAAAATGGGAGAATGTCTTGAGTGGTGTTGAAGGCGGCACTTTTTCATTCACAGTTGATTTTTGTAAGTAATATTTGGAGACCCATACTTCACAAAATTAATTTTGAAAACAATGAGAACTTGTGTAATGAATAGATGTGGTGCTCACACTACTCTTGCCAATTTTAGTCAAGGTGTTTAGGGCACAAAATTTTCTTTTATTTTAGGTGAGAGAAACCATCAGCAAGCTTCCTAAGTTGGAGCAAATCATCACAGCACCAGGAGCTTGCACTACTTGTGTAGTAATGAGAACTTGCGTAATAGTAGCTTACCAATTTAATCTTTTTTTCTTCTTCTAGATCACACCAGTCTGACAGCATAGCAGAAAGCATTATCTCTAAAATACATTTTAGAATAGTTGATTCTGTATTTTCCTGTTTCTTCTGTGTAATACCAAAACCTCTCCAGATTTTAAGTGCTTGGCATCCTAGTATTTGGAAATTGTTTTTTGACCTCTTTTTTTTTTTTCTAAGTCATCCTTTCATTCTGACATTATGTGCCTAGTAAGAGCTGGGGAAACTGCTTTTTCATTATTTGGCAGCCACAGTCCTGCTCCCTTTTTGATTGCAGAAGAGAGTGCAGGAGTGGCAATGAGTCGCATTCTGGGGATTGCATCAGGATGTGCTTGGCACTGCTGGCAGTCCTGCTGCCACAAGGCAGACCTTGTCCAGACCTGAGTGTTTGACCCATGTTTTGTGCTGTTACATCACAGTCTCTTCTGCAAGCCCTTGGCATTGCAATGATTTGCTGCAGCTCAGGACGCTTGCTGAGGGTTTCTATGACCTAAAATGAAAGAAAACTTTGTGCCCTGAACATCTTGATTAAAGCTGGCAAGGGTAGCAGGAGCTCCACATCTCTGCAGCCTTCTGTGTGTGGAGCAGCAGCCAAGCCATTCTCCCCCCTTGTTTGTATTGTTTAAACCCATGTGTTTTCTTTGGCTCTTGGCTCAGCATAGTTCACAAATAGATGTTTTGCCCCTGAAGGAGAGGTTTGTTTTTCTTACAGCCTGGTTAAGCCATTCTGAGGGTTAGTCTTGAATATAATTTATTATTATCTCAAACAAGTCTATTTGTACAAAAGCACTTTTAAACACTTCTGTCTTTGCTTTCCAGTTCAGCTGTTAAAAACTACTTTAGTTTGCTCTTGCAAAAGATGGAGAATTCAGAAAAAATTCTGACTCAATTTTGTTTTCATGCATGAAAAGGAAAATGCCAAGGAAAATTAAATGGTTTGGTAATCCTCTAAAACCTAAGGGATTATATTTTCCTCCTGTTTTCTTCTTTGTAGAAACCTGATGTTAAAAAAATCATCATTCTATAACTTTAGCAAGAAGAACTGCATGTTAATTTAGCATTCAGCAGAGTAATGTTTCTTGCTTATAAGGAACAATTTATTCTGGTTTATGGCTTCTGTAGGTTATAAATATTTAGATTTGCAATTAGTTAGGCATATCCAAATGCAATGTACATTAAAGCAAGAGTACAGTGAGCTTACAGAGGATGTCTGTGAAGCTTTTCCTTCACACTTAGTTACAGCAAAATCTTGCTTCTGTTTTTTGCCAACTGTGTACAGTTTTGGAGATTTAAGTAATTATATCCCTTCTTAAATTATGACTATGGCAGAACTAACTTTCCATGCTTTTGTGGGTGAAATTGGAAAGCAACTGAAATGTTTTAAAGTCACTTAGTGGGTTGTGTAATATTTTTGTTGTACTTAGTTCAGTAGCCAAGTTTTAAAACCAAAGTTCACAGCCTTGCCAAGTGTGTAGTCACATTATTATGCCTCTCAGACACCTTGTTTGAAATTTGCTTTGGATGTTGCTGCAGCCAAACTGATAACCTTGAAGTTTTTTGCTGCTGCTTTTGTTTTGTGTAAAAACTTCCAGATGAGAATGTATGTGTGTGCTGTGTTTTGGATGTAGAACTAGCTAAGGTAATACCAAGGAGATGTATTTATTGCCTGTTTTGATGGACTTATATTTGGTCAAGGAGCATAGTGCACTTTATTAGTTTTCTTGCAGCGTTAAATGAGCTGAGAAAATGATTATTTATAACCATGCATTTCTCTTTGGTAGGAATGTATTTGTTTGCTTGCACTAGGTATCTATTTACAATGATAAATGCCTGAGAAATTCATATCTATTAAATACTTCCATCATTATTTTTCATAAGTGACAATTTTAGCTGTAATTTGAGGTCAAAGAGCAATGGTGTGTGCTGTTTTTGTGCACAATGCTATCATATTGATGGATCTGAATCTGATCTCTCTGTTTACTCTGTGTGGTGTGGCAGAGGGTGGAACCAGTGTAGCTATTGACCTTCATTTACCACGTCATCCTCAGGAGAAGTCACCGCTTTTCCCTAAGGGCTGCTCTCCGTGGTCATCCCAGGGAAGGAGGTAGCAGGGGCAGGGGGACTGTTTGTGCAGCTGCTGTGTTATAGGTAATTTCACCAAGGCTGGGGAGGAAGCTGGTGCTAGAACCACAACATGAACATAAGGATTTCTGATTTAGCCTGTGCTTGGGACATTCCTCCAGCTCCAAAAGACCTGCAGTCACCCTATGTGTTTTCTTTCAGTAGGTAATTAAACAAAATTCTTGTCTTGTCTTGTTTCTAAACATAACAAAATTGCTCTTGAAAATGGTACAGAAATACCTGACCAAAGCCCTGTTGAGCATTTTACCCAAGGATGTCCAGTTCTGGGGCCCTCACCTCAAAAAGACATTGGGGTGCTGGAGTGTGTCCAGAGAAGGGTAATGGAGCTGGTGAAGGGTTGGAGGGTGAGTCCTATGAGCAGCAGCTGAGGGAGCTGGGGGTTTTAGCCTGAGGAAAAGGAGGCTTAGGGGAAACCTTGTCATTCACAACTCCCTGAAAGGAATTTGTACTAAGATAAGAGTCAGCCTCTTCTCCCAGGCAGCCAGCAACAGGACAAGAGGAAATGGCCTCAAGGTGCAGCAGGGGAGGTTCAGGTTGGACATTTGGAAGAATTTCCTCACTGATATGGTTGTCAGACACTGGAACAGGGAGGTGGTGGAATCACCATTCATGGAAGCGTTCAAGAAGCGACTGCAAGTGGAACTTGAAGCTTTGGTGTAGTTGTCACTATGTGTTTGGTCAAAGGCTGGGCTTGATGATCTTGGAGGTCTTTTCCATCCTTAATGACTCTGATTGTTACTGTGTGTGTTGTGTGCAGAGTGTGCTCTACTGTCAGATTGCACACTGAAGATGGAACAGATCTGTCACTAGCAAGATGCTGCTCCCTGGGTGTCTCTGTTGCAAAGCAAGGATAAACAGGGCTGGCATTGCTGTCTGGTGTTGGGTTTGCACAAATGCTCTGCCTGAAGGGAGCCTGTGTTTGCTTTGCTGTTGCAGAAATACGGCTACACTCACCTTTCTGCCGGTGACCTGCTCCGGGACGAGCGGAAAAGGCCGGGCTCCCAGTATGGAGAACTCATTGAGAACTACATTAAAGAGGGGGAGATCGTGCCAGTTGAAATAACAATCAGCTTGCTGAAGAGGGTAAGGAAAAGACTATTTCCTTGCAGGGTCACTCCTGCAGAGTAAGCAACAAAGCAGTGGCTGTGTTCTGGCCGAACTGCTTTTCCTCCAGTGTGAGCGGTATGAATGGGCAGACATGGAGCTGCTTCTCTCAGCAATCACTTGTGTTTCTTTCTGACTGCTAGAGAGCTGATCTCATACCTGGGGATCTGTGAAAATGGGTTATTTTAATTTTCCTTTATTTTTTACTAGCTCTAGGAAAAGCAGTGAAACTGTGTTTCTTATTTCCCTGCACTAGCTTTTGGACCTCTTGGTCCATTCAGTCATATTTGATTGGAGGCCAGAGGCCTTAAAAGCACTAAGATTTGTAAGTTTTGTCAAAATAGATAGTCAGGTGAAAGAGAAGAATACCTACTGATGTTCTTGTGAAAGGAAAAGCTTCAGCCTCTATTGGATGTCCATGAAAACAATGGGAATATCTACTTTAAGTCAAAAAAGGCAGCTGTTCATGGCACTAAATTTATCTGGAGCTTTTCCCTTCAAATTAACTTTAGATCAGGGATATTCTGATGTCTTATTGTGTAAAGACACTTCCCAGAATCTTGTAGAAAATAAGCTTTAAAGCTGGGATTTATTACGAGATTTGTTTGTTATGAGATTTTTGAGCTTTGTGAAATAACTGATTCAATTTGAACAATAGTTGTGTTGGTGCATCAGTGAATTAACCAGCACACACTGAAAGTGAAACAAAAAGCACATTTTGTAAATCTGCAATAATCCTAAAATAAATGCTTCTCAACTTACCATGTCAACATCTTGGGGGTAAATTAATAAGTAGATAAATCAGCATATGTGCAGGAGATTGTGAATTGAATTGTCTTTTATCAGGCAATGGATCAAACAATGGCTGCCAATTCCCAGAAGAACAAGTTTTTGATTGATGGATTTCCCAGGAATGAAGATAATCTTCAAGGCTGGAATAAGACTATGGATGGAAAAGCGGATGTCTCCTTTGTTCTCTTTTTTGATTGTGACAATGAGGTAATGAAGTGTGTAATTCTGTAACTTCCTTTCTTGCAATATTGTGGGAATCATTCAAGAAGAACAATTAAACTCTGACAGGGAGAATGGACTAATGTAAAAGTAGAAGGAAAACTTGGCCTGGGTGTTTGAAGGATTTTTTGGCAACTTGTTTTAGCCAATGAAAAGCTGCCTGTTTATTGAAATAGACAGATGATGACAATTGGTATAATCATATGGGAATAAATTATATTGAGGAATTACTCCAGGAAATTCCATTCTTAAAGAAAATTTATCAAAACTTTAAATACATTTTACAAAATTATTTGGTTACTTCTCAGAAAATATTACTCTATATACTCTTAGTAATTTGTTGTTTAGTCCAAAATTACCTTGGTGCAATGTCTGCTTTAATTCTGAAGTGCAGCAGCAATCTTTGTTTTCATACTTATGAGCTGTGCTATGGGATAGTCAGTAATCAACATTTTATTCAGCAAGTCATTAAATTACAAGGGCATTTTGTCAGTGATGCATTGCATTCATTTAACAAGTGCCGTGATGTGCTGTCTTCTTAATTTGTCAATGCCCTTGAACATAAAAACTGTTATGACTATCCCAGCACCTTAAGCTGACTTTTTTCCTGTTACCCCTTTCCCCAGCTTCCTGAGATTTTGGTTTTTTGGTTTTTTTTATTTATTTGCAATCATTTTGTAATCTTAAAGAGCACACGAGGAACTACTATTTTTCTGTTAAAACATTAAATAAGACTAAAATAATTTTTTCACTTGGTGGGGCGTTAATTTTTTGATTCCAATTTTTTACTAGATCTAAAAATACCCAATGCTTCATAATCTTTCCTATGATTGTACTGTGGAGGTAAAATAATTTTTAACCCTTGTCCTCCTGCATGGGTAGAATAAAAGTACTCATGGAGTGCACATGTGTCAGCTTTGCTTATTTAACTCAAGGTTTAAAAAACTTAGTTCATTGGGACATTTCTAGCTATGGTTAGTTCTTCATTTTTTACTTAGATTTTGAAGTCTCCATTATAGCAATGTCAGGTAAGAACATTTTAACTGACAGTAACTTATTATTGTCAGTTTGCTGTACAAAATTCTTGAGAGAACATACAGTGACTTTCCTTTAGTGCAGACATATATTAATAGTCCCATTTGACATGCTGCTTTTCAGAAAGCTTGAACACATCCTTGAAAATCAGGTAATTTTCTTTTTTTATGTCTCAGGCTGGGGATTCAGTCAAATCACAGAGCTTGATGCTGCTTTTACTTCCTCTGACCCCAATCCCGTTTCCATAAACTGGATTGTGGATCATCCTCCTCTAGAAGACACTTCCTATGTGACTTCTGGTTACATCCACCAGTTCTGGGCTGTATTTTGTGTGCCAGGCCAGTTTAGATTTGCAGGATTTTTGTTAGTTCCTGCTCTCAGGATGGCAGCTGGTGTTCCTGGCTGCAGTCATGCTTCTGGTGTTTTTTTGTAGATCTGTATCGGCCGCTGTCTCGAGAGAGGCAAGAGCAGCGGTAGGAGCGACGATAACCGGGAGAGCCTGGAGAAGAGGTACTGTCCTAAAAACTTTTCTGGTCCCTTCTCTTGATACTTTTCTTTGTAATGTGGTTTTATTCTCCCTGTGATTTCTCTTAGAATTCATACATATCTGCAGTCTACTAAGCCTATCATAGATTTGTATGAGAGAATGGGAAAAGTCAGAAAAGTGGATGCTTCTAAATCTGTTGATGAAGTAAGTATATATATGCCAAAAAACCATGGGGATCACAGGGTGGCAGGGTGCATATTTCTGGCATTCTTCTGAGATGTGTGTGTGTGTGATTAGCCTGCTCATTAAGCACTGATGTTATTACTCAGGGATGTTGTGAAGCTCTTGATTTAACTCTTGAAGGACGAGTAAGATGTGAATAACTTGAGGAAATTGATCTGTTCTGCTTGAGTGTGAACTGGCCTAACACATTTTCAGTGTTTCTGTGTTTAACAGAGTCTTGCCTTTTACATTTTCATGAGCTTTTGCTCCTCTCCAAGTAATGTTGCTCTTCTGTCTGCTTCCCAAAATTGATGCCAGTCTCACTGTTAAAGAATTACTGTGAATGTTCTAAAAAACCCCTATATATTTTTGAAAGTACTGTCAAATACTGTTTAAGTTGGTTTAACTTGGAGTAACTGTTAGATCAATGCTTCATAAAATTCTTCTTTGTCTTTCTAGGTTTTTGAAAATGTTGTACAAATTTTCGACAAAGAAGGCTAATTCCCAGCTTGAAACTCCATTTCAACTTGTGCTTGAATCTTGCTTGAATAGCTGCTACTGCAGTCCACTCTTTGTAATTATTTTAAAAGATTTTTTATTTTTTTTTTCACATATCTAATGATGATTGGTAAAACAGTTGATTAGAAATGGATCTGTTTTTTAAATAGGAAATCATTTCTTGTGGCTATAGTATACAAGTTTCAGGGTTCTCCATTAGTGCAAGTTCAGTTACTCACATGGCAGAAACACAGTTAATACATCTTTCTGAACAAACTGTTTATTCTGTCACAGTTCTGTGCCTGTCATGGGCAGTCCTTCTTCTTCCTATTGCTGTACACCTACTTGCTTTTTAAAGATCAACTGAACAGCAGCATAAATCAATGAAGGACCCATAAACCTTGGGTTTTTTGGATTCTTGGACCAAATTTAGCAGGTTTTTTTTAAGTATAATTTTGCCCCAAATTCCCTTATATCCCCAGACCTGAATTCTCTAAGTCAAGCTACAGTTAGTGTGAGAATCTGTTTTAGCAATTGTCAGAAAACTATGAAATATGCATTTCAGGAACAGACATACAAAGTACTTTATGGAAAGTGGTGCTTCCTTATGACTCTGGATGTAAACTGTCTTGCAGGTTTTTGGATTACATGACCCTGGATTTTTCCTTGTTTTAATTTGCAAAAGATTAAGAAAGTCAGTTTAACATTTCAATACTCATCTTAAATGATAGTTATGTTCTTAACTACAGCATAGTCTCACAAGATGGCAAAGTTCTTAAAAAGTATACAGTAGGCAAAATCTGACCTCTGTCTTTTGTAACAAGTGGAAGGGTTCTTCTTTGTTATTATTGAAATACTGTGTTACCAAATGCTTTAAGGTTTGTTACCTGAGGAAATATTTTTATGGTTAAACTAGTGAATATGTTTCCCTAAAAATGTGTAATTTTAATAGCTGTTTGTTTGAGAAGTTTGTAAGTTATTGCACTTTTTTTACAATGTGGTCAGCTGAGGGGAAGATAATTGCAGGAAAAAAGTTTAATTCCCTGAAACAGAATCCTGCTTCCCCCTGTTCTCTTGAATAAGCCAAGTGCAGTCAGCAGGAGGAGCTGGGGTGAGCAGGGAACTGGTTGAAACAACCTGGTTGAAGCGTTTGCACAGATGTGGTGCAATTTTGTCTTTTGTTTAAGCTTTCCTGTCCCCTATATAGTATGCATAGGTCTGGAGGGGCCCAACCATGCACTCCTTTTGTGCCCTAAGCTTCCACTGATGGCATGAAGATGAGAGTGTTGACTGATTTTAGTGCTAGAGTGGTTGTTCCTACATTAACTGACGTTCTAATTGCTTTGTGACTGCTAATTACACAGAATTGCAATTCGGAATTCTCGATGCTCAGCTTTTCTTTAGCCATGACTTTCTCTGTTTAGGAGAAGGTTTAAATTAAGCTTAGTTTTTAATTAGAATCAGATGTGTTGGTCCTCATCTTGCAGTCAGATTTGTATTTTCAGGAATTCTCACCTCGCTGAGGTTGTTGAGGCTCCTGGACTGGGCAAGAGATGGGTGCAGAACCAAGGGTAAACTGCAGTAGCTTTTCCAGTCTGGTAGGAGTTCAGGCAATGGGCTGGCCACAAATAGCTGTTTACTACTGCTGAATATATGGACCATGACTGCTTTTGTGAGTGTGGGGGGGCCAATGCTCCCACTTTATGAATTTCTTGTTTAAAAAAATAAAAGAAGAAAACCTAGAATTTAACTCTTCCTGTATAAGTATGCTGACATGGATAGGATCCAGCAAAACTGCATGTTTTAATATGAAGGTTTGAATCAGGGTTTTTCAAAAGATACTTCAAACTGGGTTCTTTAATCCAATTAGAGTGATTTCATTAACTCTTGCTTCTAAGTTACTGCTTTTTTACAAGTTCAGAATTTTCTCTCATCATACACTTTTCTGTGTATTTAAGTGCTGAAACAAAAAGACCCCAACCTCTGAAGCAAGTTTTTCTAAAACTCCCAACAATGTTTTGGCAGTATTGAATTTGGAGTGGATTGTAATCTGTCTGTGCAAGGACTAGATTTTTTTGTCATTTTATTTATTGAAGATGCCATTAAATGTGTTACCACTTCTTTCAAGATGGACTTACGATTGAAATAAAAATTAAAAGCAATATGTGAATGTGTTTGTCCATTTAGCAGCAAAACTGTATAAAGAATTTGAGGAGATCCAATAAACTTTGTTCTGTGGCTTAATGAGTGCTTGCCTTACAGTTATCTGTCACAAGGGATATTTTTCAAGTATATCCATCTATATAAAGTAAATATTTATTTGAGTTAAATACTTCACGTGGCCACATGTACAGGTATGTGTATAAAAGTTCAGTTTTCACCATCAAAACTGAAGTCCTGAAGATCCTTTTAGGCACAGGAGAAGATCAAACCTTTGCCTGTGGCATTGGTACCTTTTCTTGATTTTACAGGTTTATCAAATGACTGTGTTCATATAGTTGTGCAGTGATCATTCATTTGGCACACGTGTGAAAGGAAAGTGACTTGGAGTGGTGTAGGAAACACAAACCTATTGTGCACCTGCTGTTGGAGACATTTCTGGCCTGGATTTCTCAGGATTCCTTGCTCAATCAGCAGCTGATCCCCTGACTGCCATTCTGCTGGCTCTGCAGCACATGTGTACGTGCTATACTCCAGGCTGTTCTTAAAGGAGAGTTGCACAGCATAATATTCTCTAGAAAAGAAACTGAGAGGCTGCCAGCCTCATTTTAAAATAACTCATTTTATGTAAAGATCTGTTACAAAAGAGGTTGTTTTGTCATGTGTAGCTTCCCATTAAACGACTTGTTGAACTTAAAATTATAGAATCATTTGGGTTGGAAAAGACTTCTAAGGCAGAACATCCCTTCCAACTTGAAACTTTACCCTGGAAAGATTTGCAGAGCTGTTCTGAAATGGGTGGGGAAGAGCAGGGGATTTTTCAGTTGTGCCAGGTGCCTTTCTGCTGGGAAATCTGCTGAGACTAAACTGCTGCTGTAACCTCACCTTGAAGTTGTAGCATCTCCTCAGGGATGGGCTGAAAGGGGCAAAGCTGCCCATTGGATTTGCACCTTTTGGACAGAGATTTTGAGTTCAGTCTCCCACTTTGAGAGCAGGAGCAGGCAGAGAAGAGCATAAACACACACTTGAGGATTGCCTCAGCGTAAGATATCCCCCACTAGGAACAATTTGTCCTTAATAAGAAGAGCTGGCTCATGAGGGAGTTGTGAGGTCTCGTGGAAAATCCTGTCTCTTACAACAGTGGGGACATGTGTGTGCTGCTGCCCAGGCTGAGCTGGGGAGAAGGGGAGAGTTAAATGGAAAAACCACTCAGCTCAGAGCGGAGCTGCCAGCTGTCGTTACCGGCTGGCAGTTCCTGGCTGCCAGCATTTAGGAAAGTTGCAGCTTACGGGATTACTTTCCTCCTCTGGTGTGAGCTCCAGAACCAGTTCAGTCCCTGCTGTGGCACAGATGTCTCTGAAGGCTGTGATCTGTGACAGCTCTGCTGGCCTTCTGCTCTGGGGGGCAACACTTGGCTCCTTGGCACAAGCTGGTTATTCCTTCAAGCTGTGGCGCAGCAGGACTTGGAGACCCAGGGCTGTGCCCTTGCCACAGTCCAGACACCTCAGGTTTAAAGAAAACTGCGAGACAATGTGAAGAGGATTTGCCTGATCAGGTAACAAAGGAGACAAAACATTCGATAATATCAAAACATTAATACGCGGTTTCATATAGCAGCAATGCGCCCACTCTTGTGATCTGCAGACCTTTATAAGCCTTCCAGGGGAGATAGGGGGGCATGGAAGAATTTAATCTTGCATCTCTCTGCTATTTTTCATGGATTGCTTAATTTAAGATGGTGGGTTTCAGCCTGTGTATTTGTAGAGTATTTCTATTGGTAACGATAGGTGTCTTTATTGAGTCTTCTAATCTCCTCAGCTGAGGTATGCTCTATCCTCTTTGCTTTCTGCATTTTAATGCCTTTTCCTTACCTTTCTGAATTGCAGATGCTCTTTGGGATAGGAAGAGGCGTGCTTTTGCCAATCTCTATCTGCTTGCTAAATAAAGAAAACCTTTAAACCTTCCTCTGGAGTAATCTGAACCTGTTTCTGACATGAGCTTGGTACATAAGCTGTTACAAAACCAATATAAAGCACATTGTTTTGGGGTTTTTTCCCAGCTGCAGGAAATCTCTGCGTAGTACCTCTGCTCTTTTCTCCTGTGTGAGTCAGATCAGCTGTATCTGCCTTGTTTCAGCACAGAGCACGAGAAAACCTCCTCTGTCACTAGGTGTTAAACCAGCAGTGATGAGTTGTGCATCAGTGGAGGCAAGTGAGATGGTTGAAGAGGGGAGAGAAGATGCTTAGAGAAGCTCAGTCAATTCTGCTTCACTCCTAAGACTTCAGCTTTAGATAAATACCTGTTTTACAGGGCAGCAGTGCTTGTGGAGTCCTGCTATTTCATCATTGTGCTGTATAGAAATTATTGTAAAAGCACTCCCTGCCTACAAGTTTCCTCATCTCCTCTTGTTGAGCCTGCCACCTTTAATGCCAGGGGTTGTGGAGGAACTTTTCCTGAATTTTTCTTCAGGATAACACTGTAGAAACTAAACTGGGCAGGATGAAAGCAGCATGAGCCTTGCATGTGAGGTGTGACATGCACAGTGGATTTCACTGTGGGCAGCAGTGCCAGGCATTTTCATCATCCTGGCTTGTAACTGTGTTCAGACAGCAAAGCAGAAATTTTCTCTTCCCCCTCAAATGTTTGGCAGAAAACTTGCTTTTGTCTAAAATGCTTCTTAAGCCCTGTGTGAACCCTTCAGTCCTAAACCAAATACCAGTTTGAGTTGTGCTTTTTCTATCCAATTTGCAAATAGGAGGGTTTGGTTTAGTTTCTTGTAATAACTGCTGCAGTGAGACAACTCTTGGAAAATACAAGGCACCATCCCAAAAGATATTATCTGCTTTACTCTGGAGGGCTTTTTAGCACAATGCTGTTTCTGTGCGGTGAGAAATGGCACAGATTGCTGTGTGGCTACCAAAGTGTGGTGGGCTGGGTATGGTACATGTGAAAATGGTGTCTTGGACAACTTCTATTTAGTGCCAAGAGGTATAAAAAGGGATTTGGGGACAGAATTAGATCAAGTCTTAGGATTAAAGCTTAATCTATGGTGGAGGTCTTCAGGACTGTCAGGATCTATGAGGGTGTATGGAGAATGTAATATCTGGTGGTCTTCTCTCCTGGCTGAGCAGAGGGCAGCTCTTTAGGTTTCTGTTCACAGCAT